CACGAACCCGAGGGATCTGAGTGATCTTTTCTTTGCCCATGGGGTTTACTGTCTTTGGTAAACATGGGTGATGCTCTCCCGGGATACCCTAGCGATCTTTCTCTTATTTTCGACCCTCCTTCTTGTCAAATTAGCATCTATTTTCCCTTTCTTCCTCTCAGGAGCTCATCTTCGGGTGAGTACGGGAGGCCACGTACCCGAGAAACCCGAGTGGAAAAAAACACCTGAAAAGAAATAAAGACAAAAAAAATCTGTGTTTGGTTCAATATTTATTTGCAGATTTCCAGTGTAGTTCTTTTTATTTCTGTTTGGGGTTGAATTTGCGGTTATTTTGAGTTCGTTACTTTTTGTTCTTTAATTTCTGTAGGTGTCGGTAACCACTCCCTTATAACTGTGATTTTGACAAGTGGGAATTGAGAAAGGCTCTGTCTTTGGTTCACAATATCAATCTAGGCTTTGAAGGAATAACTTACGATATGCTTCGCCACTTGAGCGAGGATTCAGTTGTCTGTCTCCTCTACCAATTCAACCGAATATGGAGGGAGCATGTGTTTCCTAGCCAGTGCCCAGAAACAATCGTTCTTCCTATTCTGAAGCCTGGTAAGGATCCAAAGAACCCTCTCCACTATAGACCTAGCGGTCTGAAGAGTTGCCTTTGTAAGACCCTTGAATGTATGGTCAATGCCCGTCTCGTTTATCAATTGGTAAAGAACCATTGCATTCCTCCGTTTCAGAGTGGCTTCTGTAAAGGAAGATCCACAGTAGATAACATCCTTCTACTCGAAAGTCAGATTCGTACTGCTTTCGTGCGGAGGAATCATTTGGTTTCTATTTTCTTTGATATCGAAAAGGCATATGACCGTACTCGGCACAATGGGATTCTTCGCACTTTATACTATTATGGTTTGAGAGGCAATTTGCCTCTTTTTATTCAGATGTTTTTATCTTTAAGAACTTTTAAAGTACATGTCGGTAATGTTTTATCATCTTATTTTACTCAATTTGAAGGAGTTCCTCAGGGAAGGAATTTAAGGCCGACTCTTTTCATTTGTCATCTGTCTCTTATTCTTTCTCATCTGCAGCCATCTGTTCATGGATCGTTATACGTCGACGATCTGAAGATTTCCTGCGAAGAATCATCCATGCGTATCATTGAGCGACGACTTCAGACCGCTGTTAATAACTTGATTACATAGTGTGACACGAATGGACATAGTATTTCGGCCAGCAAGAGTAGTTGCGTGCATTTTCGTAGGAAACAGGGTCTCCATCCCGATCCTGACATTCGCATCCGTCATACATATATTCCCGTTGTCCCCGACGTCAGCTTCCTCGGAGTAATTTTCGACCACAAACTCACATTCCTTCCGCACATTTTACATTTGCGGAAGAAGTGTGAGAAATACCTCAACATCTTGAACGTGTTGTCGAACACCTCTTGGAGAGCGGATCGAACTTCTTTACTCCAAGTGTATAAGTCGGTGATTCTGTCCTGGATCGACTACGGACGTATCGTCTACGGATCTGCTTGCAAAACTACCTTGCAGAAACTTGACCCGGTTCACCATAATGCTCTGAGAATCTGCTGTGGTGCGTTTCGAACGTCACTTTTGCAGAGTCTCTATGTGCTTTGTAATCAGCTACCTTTGGCATTGCGGCGCCTTAAACTGTCGCTCGTTTTTCATTTCAAAATGTCATCTCTTTCATCTCACACATTGCAAAACTTTACTATCAGCCTGTCTTTACGGAGATTGTACGATACTCGGCCTTCTTTCATCCGTCCTTTTTTTGAGAGGGTGAAGGAATTCATCGAGGAACTCAGTCTACATGACTTGCGTATTCAACAGCGAAATTCTATTAAATTTCCTCCTTGAAATATGCCAAGGTTTGCATATCATGACCCTTTGCTTCATACAGCAAGAGCACCACATGTCCAATTGTTTTCCTGAGTATTTTGGCCTTCCATCGCAGTCAGTATATGGATTTAATTCCAATTTTCACGGACGGATCAAAAGAGCTGGATACGTCGGCTGTGGTACCGTTTTAAATGACATCAGGGACAGTTACCGGCTCGACGTTTCCTGCAGTGTCTACACATCCAAAGCGTTCGCCATTTACTGTGCCTTCAGATTAGTCGCGAAATCTAGTTCCCGAAAGTTCGTCATATATACTGATAGTAGGAGCGTCCTGGAAACATTGTTACATTGTGGCCAATTGGTGGTTGACATATAGTAGGGATTATGTAATAAAATTCTGCTGGATTCCCAGTCATGTAGGTATTTCAGGCAATGAACAAACGGACTCGGCTGCTCGTTCGGTAATGATTCCTCTGCAGATCGAAGTCCCACTTGAGGACATTCGGCGTCACATTTTAATGCTTATTCATCAGACATGGCAGGAATCGTGGAGTCACCAGACTAATAACAAATTACACTCGGTGAAGCCGATCATTGGAGAATGGCCTGTTTTTCCAATGCGAAGAACGGATGTCAGATTGACTCGAATTCGCATTGGACATACTCGATTTACTCACAAACATCTTTTGTTTGGAGAAAATGCTCCCGAGGGTCCTTCCTGTCATGTCCCTTACTCCATTCATCAACTTTTAATTGACAGTGTGGTGTTTGATCATCACCGGATTTTTTTTTCATTCATTAGTTTTAAGCCTATCTGACTTGGTGGGGGGTTTCCCCCACCATAACTTATTTTCTTTTTTACAACATATTTGCATTTTACACCACATTTGAATATTAACATTTTATCTCTTGTCATTTTGTGTTTGTCTCATGTTTTTAAGGTAATTTTTTTCTAATCCATTTTAACAAGTGTTTGGCGCAGCATAGCCCGCTTTGGCTCTTACGCCATAAAACTTTACAGTCACTCACTTGGTCCGTGGCATCCATGATGCAGAAATCATCTTCATCATATAAAATACAATCATTGCCATTTCCAAGATTAAGCATTGGAGTACGTTTTTTTAAAAATTTATAGGCAGTTAATTTAATGTGAATTTTAGGTTCATTGTTTGTTGTAGGATGAGAAATATTTCGGAATGCACGATTTAACTTATTTTTCTTTTTGGTTTTTGTTTTAAAACCGAGAGATACTGCGGAGGAAAGGAGATTTCGAGGTGCGCGGAGCAACTGAATTTAGAACAGGAGATTCACTGAATGAACTGTTTTGAGAGGAACTATTGAAGGTAAAATATCTGCCTGAGAAGACGCCGATGATGTATTAACTGTAGGCAGCGGGTAATTAAAATTGAAGGAAACGATAAAAAATTGAAAAAGGGATATAGTTCGCCAAAAGTCATTGAACTAAAACAATTCCCCCTTGGGTGGTTAAAATGTAAACCTTTGAAAATAATGCGGGATGAAATCAATTATTTTCGCAAACTAATTTCTTTTTCTTTCACTGTATACCACATAGATAAGTAGATTTGGAGAAAACTTAAAAATAATGGCGCAAGTGATTATACATCATCTTTATTGAACATTATATCTACAATTTTAGGAAAAATGTTTGCATTTCCATCTCTTTGAAACATTTGGTACGTATGAGATATTAAAGTGCCTTTATAAAACTGTCCGGTATTATTTTTAAAAGATTAACAAAAAGAAGAAAGAACTTTTTTACGAATAAGGGATTGTATTCAAAAATAAGTGCTCTTGTAACGAAATTTCAAACTCGTACGCAGTTTGCAACAATTTCCATTTCATAATCGTCTTTTCGAGGTACCAATTTTTGGAACAAACGTCTCGCATTTGTTTCTTAAATGATAAAATACCTAAAAGAACATTTATTGAGTTATACCTAAATGGATATTTTATCTCAGGGCCTTACACTCTTTTGGCAGGTACGTGGATCAAAATCCTAGTGATCAATTTTCTTTCCCATGGGATTCGCTGTCTTTGATAATTATAGAAGAAGCACTACAGGGAATATCCTAGCGATGCTTCTCTATTTTCAACTTTTCTTCTGGACATGAATTTTCTTTTTTTTCCCGGTGTTTTCTCCGAGGGACTCATCTGCAGGTGCCGTGTAACCGAGACTAATGCACGTTATTTCTATCGAGGTCTAAAAGTCCTCCCTTGGAGTAGTGTGGAAGTTAGTAGAGGGGGATACCAGCTCAAGTGTCGTCCTCGTCATTCGACTTATGCAAAAAGTTACCAGGTCCGTCACCAATAGTCCTCGTGATACTAGTGCGAGGTTAATGAAACCAAACCAAATTAAACTACCTACTGGTTAGTATGGATGGCTACGTCCCCGAAATACCCAAGTGAAAGAATGTAAAAGTTGGAAAGTAAAAAAAAAACTCTCATCTCGGTTCTCTTTCCATTTACGTTGCAGGTTCACACAAAAGTCTTTACTTTAAAATTTTGTTTGAAAAGAAGTCTTTTTGGCCAAAAACTGGATTTTCTTAAATAATTTTGACCTGAATCACAGGAAAAAAAAATTATTGCATACTGCAACAACTGTTTGATCAGAGAAGAAAATATTTAAAATGGATGCAGAAAAGTTCACTGTCGATAATATTCACCCCATGAGTTCTCTAAAAGAAAGTTATGAATTGAAAATAAATGGGCGAAATTAATTTTGAGATAATGTCGTCCGGGAAAAAAAAAAAAAAAAATCTGGTCTCTCTCGACCATGCTCAAGAGACAGAAACATTTGTGTTGCTACTGGTCTATAGAAATAAAAAGAATCGAATTCGCAATTCGCAAATTTTTCATCAAATGCAACCAGTGCAGGATTACGACTTGATTGTCTTGAGTACTAAGGACAAATTTTCATACAGTTTAGCTGACAGAAGCAAGCCTATGTGGATAAGTTTTGATCTTGGCACGCCGCATGTGCGGTGAAACCCTCCTCTCTCTCTTCATTCGAAGAAGAGCAAGTTCCGCTGAATATTTACTTCACTGTCGATAGTAAACGATCACGGAAAAATATCTCAAGTGATGACCTGATTCTTTGTGTTTTTGTTTTGCTCATCTTCCGAAGCGTCGGTGGTATAACTGTTAGCGTAGCTGCCTTCCAAGCAGGTTGATCCGGATTCCACTCCCGGCCGATACAGATTACTTTTAATCTTTAATGAAATCGAAACAAAGTATAAACATTCCAAATTACATTTTAAAATTGCTTCTATTATATAAAGTGTGATGTGCAACATTTTACAATTTCATTCTAAGCAAATAACCATTTCTCCACATGCAGCAATACTTCCTCTGTATACTCGACAAAATCAGTCTTTCTAATCCTGTTACCCTCACTGATTCATTAACGTTGTTTCGTTTTGTGCCCTATTAATGTTAAATGCCTTGAATTATTGCTTCAAATAAATTTGTTATTTTATGACTAGTAGAACTTGCCTAGTAGGTTAAATTAAATTAGTTTTATCAGTAAGTAGTTTATTTATATTTAATTATTTAAAATTTTGTTTCATGATCCAAAAAAAATTTATTATCCAAATGATCGGGAAAATATTATGAACTGCATCATATACTTAAAATGTTCACAAATTGGTTGGTTTAAATTTATGGCTCTGAATCTTCTTGTGATATATTGTGCCAAACACAAGGTTAAGATATTAGTTTTTTCCGTTAAAACAAGTTAAAATTCACATCCGCGATAGTAAGTAAGATAAAATGTCGTAAAATTATATGAATGGGGTAAAACCAATATTACTTAAAAAGTTAAATAAATTTATTTGGTTGGGGATAAATCAAATATTATTTAAAAAGTTAAATAAATTTATTTGGTTGGGGATTTTTCCCAACCAAGTCAATTAAAGAAGTATACAATTTAAAATATTTAAATCGAAATGAGTTAAAAACATTGCATTCGATTAAACTATGTCTCACTCTCAGAGGACAAACACAATCGTTACATATAGGAGGATCCTCCCCCAGAAAGAGATGTTTATGAGTAATACTTGTGTCCAATCCTTAGACGAGTTAAAATCACGTCCTGTCTTCTACTTGAGAATAATTTCCAATGAGAGATGATGTTTAATTTGATTTAGTTTATTAGTTCCATTGGTATTGCCAATGATTATGAATTACTATTAAATGTTTTTTATGATGTCGCAATATGGAATGATGGGACACATTTCATCAGATGCCGATTTAGCGGCAATATCGACCAATTCATTTCCTTTGATGCCCACATGCGAAGGAATCCAACAAAAAAACAGTTGAATATTTTGATGTTTAGATTATGAATTATTTTTAGCGTATGAGTGACCAAGGGATGTCTTTAACTCTCTTTGTGGTGTCTCTTTTTTCGCACTCATTGAAAATATTTAATTAACGGTGTAGATCTTTAATAAATTAAATGATTTGTTAAAAAAAATGTGTGAAGTAGCCGGAACTGATGATTCACAAACAGGAAAGTGGACTGCATATTGAAATAGCGAGAAAAGCAGTTTCTTTGTAAAACTTGTACGTAATAGGTAGTTTTTATGTACTTGAAAGACAGGGAAGGGCTATAAAAGATGGGTCATAGAAACGGTGTTACAATTGTTGATCGTAAAGTGGAAATCAAACTAGATCCCTTCCAATTGGGAAGGACGCAATAAAAGCATCGCTATCTTTAGTTTTGAATAAAAATAGTAAGAAATTGTGGGATATTTGCGAATCGCCCTAAACTTGTGTAAAAGGAGATGTTTCTAACACCGCGAAGTCATTTTCTTTCAAATGACATCTTGTCAGATCATAAAATCATCAGAAAATGGAATAAAATAAACGCAAACTTGGAAAAATAAAAACGTGAAAAAGTGTTTACTTCAAAGCAAGAAAATAATGAAAATTAAGAAAAAGAAAACACATATGATTTATCTTCCATGAAGAAACTATTTACCTTCGATCATTACAACCACTATTGCAAGAGTACATTGCCGTTCCTTTGGATACACCCATTCCCTTCCTAGAAGGGAGAGCTTTCTTCGTTTTCAAGTTTCAATTTCAATCGATGGGCCCCTTAAATATACATCTAATTCTGTTTGTACACAGTAGATATGTTCCCGAGAAATACGTTTTAAAAAATTCACATGTACAAAATATTGCATCTATGGAAAAATAGAAGATTATTTCCGGTCTTAAGAATTCAGCAGAAATAATACAATAAACCAGGTATTTCCGTGTTAGGATCTCAAATATTTCATTTCATAACGATTGTACATATATCATACAAAGTAAAATATCCTTTAAATTGGGAGAACAACATACCACACACAAAAATTAGTCAATACAAAATAAGTTAGGCAAAAAGATTTTATTCGTTGTCATTTTCTGACAGTATACGTATACGTTTGCGCAAGACTGCAACATTATTGCCATTTTAGAAATGTCTTGGTTATTGTTTTCGTGCTGCATTTGTGAAATGCTTTCTGTAATCTCTTTGAACAAAATTAGGATAAACCTTTTGTGATGCTGATATTTCAGTAGATTTAAGAACGAATAAATATAAAATAAAGATTTAATCACTGTGTGAGAATGTTTGGTCGGACGGATGGGAAGGAAGGGTCGACATCTCTAAAACACTAACTTTATTAACTGCTCATCTACAAAACAAATCTCTCTCTTCCCTCTCCCCGCTTTCTCTCTTGAAAGCTTACACTATATATACATATATCAGTCTTAATTTGCATGTTTCCGTTCTATTCTTCGGAGTAAGCCCTCTGATACAAATAATTGTTGAGGAGTGCAAATTCCCAAGAGGACTATTAGTGACAAGGTCGTGGATAGACCCGTCACAACTGTTGCAACAAAGTTATAAAAGTACCTATTTTAAGCCACCACAATACTTTACTTTCCACAATTTCTATAAAATTTCACAATTGCTTTATTTTAATTAATCCAGGCTCAGGATAAGACAGAATGAAACGTTTTGAAAGTGGGCCTACGAAACGCAAAAGATCGAAGGAAAAGCAAGAATCTATTGATAAATTACCAAAACTCACCCAATTTTTTTAATACAAATTCTACATCTACATCTATATCTATATCTACCACTTCTATCAGTATATCCAATAATGTACCTGAAGTTGAAGGACAGGGAAGAACAGACTATTTAAGTATTCGAGAAGGTACTATGAGACCTACTGAAATAAGTACAATAACTGATGACGTTTCAAATATTTTTATTGCAAGTACAGATTCAGGGCTGTGGCCTTCATATATTGATATCAATTTACAGCCTTACTGGGTTGAGAAAGGTCTGACAGTTTGTTCTAACAAACATATTGATTTTGAAAAATCTTCACGTATATATAACGTACCAAAAGATAAAAATAAAACAAGATACCTGTCTAATTTGCTATTCAAAAAAGAGTTACGAAATGGTTAGATTGTAGAGCGTGAATGTCTAATATATTCTCCGTCACAAGGAAAAGTATACTGTTTCGTATGTAAATTATTTTCATCTACTAATTTTACATTCAGCAGTAGTGGTTTCTATGATTGGAAGCATGCAAACTCAGCTATTTTACAGCATGAAAACGTACCTGAAGATAGAAAGTGTATGATGAACTACCACAGTCGTTTACAGTTATTTAGTCGTGTAGACAACCAACTTATTAAGTAATTTAATGATGAATGTCATTATTGGAAAGAAGTGCTAAAGAGAATAGTGGCTGTCATAAAATTCTTAGCATCAAGAGAACTGCCTTTCAGAGGGGAAAACTAAACTATAGGTTCAACGAATAACGGAAATTATTTGGGCACTTTAGAACTTCTAAGTAAGTTTGATATATTTTTAAATGAATATATTAAAAAGCACGCAATTCTGGAAAAGGTAATTCTTCTTATCTATCTGCTACAATTTGAGATGGATTTATTGAAGCTTTGGCGTCAAAAGTCTTAGAAACTATCGTCACTGAAATACAGAAAGCTAAATATTATTCTATTTCCGTTGATTCTACCCCAGATGTGACTTATGCTAACCAAATAACTTTTATTTTACGGTATGTCCAAATGGTGCACCCATTGAGAGATTTTTACAATTTATTAATATTAATGGACATATTGCAGAATATCTGACGGATGTTGCGGTTTCCTTTTTGGAAAATAACAAAATTTCCCTCGGTGATTGTAGAGGTCAGTCATATGGCAATGCCTCGAATATGTCAGAGAAATCTTCAGGATTGCAAGCCCAATTTAAAAAAAAAAAATTAAATACGCGCTATCATGTGCAGGGCATTCTTTGAATTTAATTGGCATTCAAGCAGTAAAATGTAACTATTATGTGACAATTTACTTTGATTTTGGCCAAAATCTTTATAATTTTTTCTCTTCGTCAACTCATCGTTCGAATATACTAACGTTAAATTTGAATTGTGATAGAAATAAAAATGTATTGAAAAATCTATCAAAAACACGCTGATCAGCACGTGGAGATGCAATTAAAACTTTAAGCCCCGGATATTCAGAAATTGTCATGAGGCTGGATTGCTTAATTAATGAGGATTTACAGGCAACGGATACTCGACTTTTTGCTAAAAAATTAAAAATTAAGATGAATGAATTCGAAACTGATTTTTTAACTATCCTTTGGAAAGACATTTTGATACGTATTGACAAAGTAAACCTATTCCTTCAGAGTAAAAATATGAATTTGACGAAAGGAGTAAAATTATTAAAATCGTTAATCATAAAAACCAAAAGGGATTCTTTTGACTATTATGAATCAAAAGCCAAGAAAGTATCCTTTATAAAGGAATATCAAAGTGTTCACAAGCGTGTAAGACAACGCAGTGTTAGGGTAACTTTCCTTGAAGGAAATAAACACCGACACAACGTTTGAAAACAGCTGAAGCCAGAAATTCAAAATAGAAACCTTTTTACCAATAATCAATTCTCTAATTTGCAATATACCAATACGTAGTAAAAAATATGAGGAGCTTTTTGAAATGTTTGGATTTTTTTGAAAATATTTTTATTTTGGATGAGACAGAAATTAAAATAGCATGCAAGAAAATATCAAAATTTTACGATAAAGTCATCAATGGATAGGAACTGAACTTGGAATGTAAATATCTCAAGTCGTATATGATCATTGATGGCGAAAAGCTGAAG